TCTCTGTTTCTCTTTAGACCTTAGGAAACAATCTGGATGGACAGCTAGACGTCATCCACTGTGACTTCTTTAAAATGGATCCTAGAAATAGCATACAAGTCAAACCACCCATTCTGCTATCACATATGCTTTTTCCGAATTTGGGAATAAAGGCACGTCCTTGGTCAGCAGGTAATTTTTTGTAATTCACTAAAGGAGATGACTTGTAATTTGTCGGCTTTCTTTAGCAGTATACTTGACTTGTTGACCAGATTTGCATACAATTTATATTGTACAATTTGTGAGCAGATGCTTTTACATTGGATATGGCATTTCCCTCACCTGGACACATAACCAGTTTATTTTCCCAAAGGCCAAGTTCCATATCAAAGGAAGATGCTGAGGCTTAGCTTCATTGAAATAAACCTTAAACATAGTCTATTAACAAGAAAGTATGATCAGAGGAACGAATGTTAAGAACTTTATTCAGATGTTTTTTGCTTGTATTCCTAACAGGTATACCTTTAAAAGTAATTGGAATTTTCCCATTTAGAAGTGAAAGAAAGGTACTTTGGAAGCTTTTATATGACTTATATTCCTGTACTTCTGTATATAAATATGGACGAATAGAACTAAATATGTTTATTGGTGAAAAAGAATACCAGGTAGGTTATTAACAAGTACTATATTTTGTTTTGAATGAGCTCTGTGATGTTTCTCTGAGTAGTTTAAATCTGTGTAACTTTAATGTAGGGCTCATGACATGTGAGAATGAAGATTGTTTTAAAATTTCTGTAGAGCAATCTTTAGATTAAGATTGTTTTTAAAGTGTACCATTCATCAGCACTGAGTATATTCCCATTGTACACCAATTACCACCATCGTCTCCAAAATTTTTCATTATTCCATACTGAAACTCTATTCATTAAACACTAACGCCCTATTTACCTCCTCCTCATTCCCTCGTAACTAGTGTTCTACTTTCTGTCTATGAATTTGACTGTTCTGGGAACCTCATTTAAGTGGAGTCGTACAGTATTTGTCCTTCTGTGTTTTCAAAGTTCATTCATGTTAAAGTGTGTGGCAGAATTTCATTTCTCTTTTAGGCTGAATAATATTCCCCTGTATGTGTATAACCAAAATATGTGTATCCATTCATTCATCAGTGAACACTTGGTTGCATCTACCTTTTGGCTATTGGGAATAATGCTGCCGTGAATATGAGTCTAT